CCTAAGTGTTTGTTTAGAAGGAAGCAGTAGCAAGCTTGAAAGGCATGACACATCATTTCCCAACTAGCTATTAGATTGTAGGGACTTCAGAAGTGGGACTAAACATTTTCTGTATATTTGTTAAAGATTATACTGGTAAAACTTAAGAGGCCTCAAAATTGGGAATTATTTCTTTACTATAGATAAAAATTAATATTCTCAAAAAGAAGCTGAGCCCTTCCAACCCACGGAACATCACTGATGGAGGAGCTCCAGGAACACTTGCCAGGGTGGTATTTCCCCAGCAGCACAGCAGTGGTGCAGAGAGGGAACAACTCAGAGGAGCTACGCAAACATATATACCTACCCCGTAGCACTGGGATTAACCTGCACTTGCTGCAGTCAGGCTGATCCTTCTCATCATTATCAGAATGATTTGATGAAAGGGTCACAGCAAAAAACATGTGCAGGGTTTATAAATGCCCAGAAGAGGGTTCTCTGCTGTGAGAGGGTCACATTGTTACACACCTACAGGCAGGGCTCCTTGCCCAGGGCAGGCACTGGCTAGGCTGCAATTAGAGAAAGCAGCCTTGGTATGTGGTCCCAAAGAAATTGTCCAAGAATAAACAGGGTTAGAGAGTTGCCAGCTGCACTCATTCAACTCATCCTCACAAGCTGCCACCTGTCCCCCCAGTTAAATCACTAATTCAAAGCACTGCTACCTGCGTGCATCTTTTTCAGGTTGATTACATGTTGGTGTAAGCAGATCAAACACCAAAACTCTGTCAGGGAGAGCACAGGAAACTTGGCAGAAACCCTCTTCTGGAACAGGGATTAGCTGGCAGGCGGAAACTTACGTCTGTATCAGCTTCAGGAACTGTGTGATTCATGTTAAATGGTGAGGCAGCATTGCAGTGCTACAAAGGGCTGTGAAGCTTATCTGGTCTGCAAGCCTGTGTAGCAGGACTAGCGATACTTGCCAGTCTTAGTCGCAGACCTGATGCCTCAGAGCTGAAGGCATTAGAATGCTTCAGAAATAAACAGAAGTTTTAAGGCAAGTAAAGCCAGTTTTTAAAAGAAAGATGAGCAAAATGGCTAAATGCCATGGCTCTGAGGTGTCAGCAGGA